ATCGCGCTCAAACTTTTCTTCCCTGCGACTCTCCTACTTTTATGTCGGACTAGATAAGACTGAGAGTAGAATCCCTCTCGCCTCCCTCCAGAACTCGCTCATAGGCGAACCCGCCTTCCACACCATGAAGCCGTCATGGTTGTGTCCGACGTCCCACACATCACGAAGAGGTAACATCAAAACCCCCCCCTACCACTCCCTCTCATGACGTATTCCACCCCCTATTCTTCGGGCAGCGCGCGCAGTTTCACCCGAACCATTGCTCACGCGCGATGGCGCGGACGCTGCTTGCTTCGATGCGTTCCCTCCTCGCGCTTGCATTCGATGCGAAGTCTCGGCGTGAGTGTCGGTGCCCGGGCGCAGCGCTACCGGGAGCGCTGATGCATTCATATGTAGGCTTCACGTGGCAGCGGCAGGCGAAACAGGCAGGTCTAACGCTGTTTCTAATCTACACCCAGATTCAGGTCGTACATGATGTATTCAAACCCACCCGCCTAGTTAGACAAGAATTTCTGCATGGACAGCTTTCAGGAGAGGGGAATCAAGGAAGGGTCACACGGTGTGTCCGGGGCTGGCTGCGCACGTACCTCAATTCCTTCATCCTTCCGAAACGGTGATGAGGGAAAGCCAAGCCAGCGCCCCTCCGGCATGGGTCCTCGATCACACCCGGACGATGGTTCTTCCTTCGTCGTGTGTCGTGTCTTTTCCCTTTTTCTCTGCTCCCCGGTTTATCGCCCCCTCTTGAGTCCCCCACCCCCTGTAGTTAAGAGACCGATCATGCCACATCCGTCCGCGGTTTCTCGTTTTTTGGTGGTCACCTCCCTCTTCTGTCCTTCTGAATGCCTCTGTTCGTCCGCAAAATTGCTTGCGTCCGAATCTTTCGTCTCCCACTACGTTCTCACAATCCACTCGGTGTTGCCGAAACCCGCTTCGCTTCCGTCCCTCCTTTCCTTCTGCACTGTTCCCGTTCGCTCGCAAGGCCGCTTGTGTCCGGATCTCCCGTTTCTAATCCCTTGCTTCCCGCTCGGTGTTGCCAATTCCAGCTTGCATCCGAATCTTCCGTCTCCAACTGTGTTCTCACCCTCCTTTCCTTCTGCACTGCCCCCGTTCGCCCGCAAGACCTCTTGTGCCCGGATCTCCCCTTTCTAACCACGTTCTTGCTCTCCGTTCAGTGTTGCAGATTCCAGCTTCGCGTCCCTCTCTCCTTCCTGCACTGGTTATCCCCTTGGCGTTGCCGAAACCAGCTTCGCGTACGTCCCTCTTTTCCTTCTGCGCTGTCCCCGTTCACCCGCAAGGTCGCTTGTGTCCGGATCTCGCTGTTTCTAACCCCTTCCTTGCTTCCCGCTCGGTGTTGCCGATTCCAGCGTGCATCCGAATCTAACCCCTTTCTTGCTTCCCGATCGGTGTTGCCGATTCCAGCTTGCGTCCGAATCTAACCCCTTCCTTGCTTCCCGCTCGGTGTTGCCGATTCCAGCTTGCGTCCGAATCTTCCGTCTCCAACTGCGTTCTCACTATCCACTTGGTGTTGCCGAAGCCAGCTTCGCGTCCATCCCTCCTTTCCTTCTACACTGCCCCCGTTCGCCCGCAAGGTCGCATGTGTCCTGATCTCCCGTTGCTAACCACGTTCTTGCTTTCCGTTCCGTGTTGCAGATTCCAGCTTCGCGTCCCTCTCTCTTTCCTGCACTGGCTACCCGTGGGTGTTGCTTCCTCTCTCCGCTATGGCCGTCGCCTACCAGCGGGGCGAAGCCAACCTTCCCACCCAGCGGTCACAATCCCGAGGTCCGTCGCCTCCCGGCGGCGCCACCTTTGGGGCGAGCCCTCCGTCACTGCTAGGCCGGTCGGACCTGCCTCCCGGTCGCAGCACGGTGCTAGCGCCGCCCTCTCGCCGCCCTAGACTCAGACTGGTATCCGCCTAGACCTAGCCTACACTACTGGGCCTCTAAAAATGCCACTTTTGTCTTCTTCTGCTCGGCCTCCGGTACCTGCACATCTACCCCTTCCAGGTGCGGTACCGGCCTACCCGCTACTTGAGTGCTTTTCCCCGCTGCAACCCCTCAATGTCACGGCCACAGGTAAGTACCGGCCCTGAGGGCCCAATGAACGAGCAAGTGCCCTGGCGGGCCACACACATACTCATGCCAACCAGCACTCAGACAGGCACGGTCACACACACACCCAAGCCAACCAACACTCAGACAGACATGGTCACACACACACTCAAGCCAACCAGCACTCAGACAGACATGCAGTCCAGCAAACGTGCACACACAGACTTAGTAGCAGGCGGGAAAATCAGCAAGGCATTCAGTCTATGAGCAAAACTCAGAAATCAGCTGTGTTTCAGTCCATGTTTGGACGGGTCATCACACCAAT